CCCCAAAACCCCAAAACCCCAAAACCCCAAAACCCCGGTAATGAAAATCCTGAAAATATGAGTTATAGATTAATTTAAATTTGAAATGCAAATATAATCAATTCTTAACATTTATTGAGAAATATTTAAATATGGACAGTGATGAAGATGAGGGAAACTTCGCCAGACAAGGAGGTCAGGCAATAGATCTAGAAGGCGACTTCGATAGTGAGGAAGAGGTTGATGATGAGATGGATGATGATGACGATGAAATGCCACAACCCCAATAATAGGTATAACAATAACCACCAAGATAACAACCGCCAAAGCAATAGCCATAGTAAAAGGGTCCATCTCCAGGAAAAAAGCCAGGAGATGTTAAGGGTTAAGTAGTTGACAACCAACCATTTGATCTTGCAGTAGAAGTAAATGATAGTGAAGAAATCGATTCAGATGAAGAAGGCGACGAAGTTCACGTTGGAGGACCTTAATAATAATAGTAATAATAACAATAAAAGTAGAATCAATAGCCTGCTGCATTACAGAAAAAATAAGTTAACGAGGATGACGACGACGATGAGGAGGAAAAGGCTGCTCCAGGAGCTTACAATCCAGCAGAGTATGCTAATCTATAAGTGAGCAGTGAAGTTAAGGATTTATTCGAATACATTCAACGTTACAAACCTTAAAAAATAGATCTTGATACTAAATTAAAACCCTTCATTCCAGAGTACATTCCCTGTGTTGGTGAGGTCGATTCATTCTTGAAAATGCCAAAGCCAGATGGAACTAAAGAAGATCTTGGTATTATCGTCTTAGATGAACCATCACTAAATCATGAAGACAAGACTGTTATTGAATTGAGATACATTCAGGAAAGAAATGTAGTCAGAGCAACTCCAATGAACGTCGAGTCAATTGAACATGCTGATAAAAAGCCTAAGGAAATCTCACGCTGGATAAAGAGCGTCTAAGATTTACATAAGACTAGACCACCTCCAACTGTCAACTATACTAAATAGATGCCAGATATTGAAACTCTCATGCAAGAATGGAGCCCTGATATGGAACAAGCATTAAGAGAGATTCCCTTCCCAGGTCCAGATATTGACATGCACCCTTCAGACTATGCAAGACTCATTTGCTCTATGGTTGATATCCCATGCCATAAACTTGCAAATAATAAATCGGTCGTTGAAAGCTTGCATGTTCTTTTCACCCTCTTTTCAGAATTCAGATCTAACTAGCATTTCTAGAACTAAAATCAAGATGGTATGGCCGGTGGAGATATTGGCACATTTTGAGGGAGATCATCAAGATTCAGGTTGTTATTATTAGAGTTAATCACTCAATATTAATGTTTTCAAATTACTAATTTTTCATTTTTCAGTGGTAATCAGAAATACGGGGTTTTGGGGTTTTGGGGAGATCGGAAGAGCACACGTCT